GAAATATATTATTTAAGTAGCTATTATAAGATTCTGATGCATTGTTTGTTAAATGCTCTATATTTTCATAATAATTCCAATTATTACCATTATACTTAAGTAAATAATTTTTATTAAAATATTCTAAAAATTGCAGAAAATTATTATACTTTTTTTTTGACAAATTCTTTTTATTATAATATAAATATCAAATATATAGTTAGGGTTTATAAACGGTAAGTTCGAAATAGCTTTATAATAAATATATACATCATTATTATTCTTCACTTCATTATAACATAATATATTTTTTTTTGTTTTTCTAATGATCTTTTGTAATGCCAAACACAATATTTAATATTTATATTGGGAAAAACTTTTTTTGCGGCATTAGATATACCTTGTTCAAAATCACAATGAAAATTAATTGTAGTAATTAATGTATTACTCCTAAATTTATTTACATTTTTTTTTAATTCTTTAAATAATGTTTCATATGTAGATTGTTTTTTATTTTTCAATATAGAAATGGAAGTAGTGTAAAACATATTAAATTCCCCAACATAAGTTCTTGTTATAAATAACTGATAACTAAATTTCGGTGCTGCATAAAATGTACCGTCCTCAAATATATTTTTATGATAATTCGAAAATAAATATGCTTGGAATGGTGATTGAAAGATTATTAAATCAGTATTTTTAAATATCATAAAATTTTCATTTCTTTTCGTTTTATAATATTTTGATTCAATGGGAATATCATCAAAACTTTTTATGTTTGGAGGAAATTGTTTATTTATATTTCTTATTATTTGGGATCTAATTGTACTATATTCGGGACATATAAGTCCCATTTCTTGAGAAACGGCATTAAATATATGTTTAGGTTTTATATCCATAGGAATTGAATTTTTCTTAATTTCTTCCTTAATTTTATGCTTTGCTACTGATATAGACACATCAATTTCTTTTTCGAGATGGTTATGTAAACTTTTATATTTTAAAACCTCCTTTTTATCATTTAAAATAATTAAAGATTTACATTTATTTAAAGTCCTATATTCAGTGCATCTATAAATTTTTGATTTATCTTTCCTTTGAAATGAAAAATTAAATTTGTGTTTTTTATTAATAATAATTTGTTCATTTCCTAGATTTGTTTCACTTATTATTTCAATTTTTATATTGTCTTCCATTGATAATTAAAACTTTTCAATAAAATATTTTAATAAATAGTATTGATAATTAAAATTTTTCAATAAAATATTTTAATAAATATATTTTTAAATGCTTTGAAACTTTTTTTTTTTTTAATATTTAAAATAATAAACCTTTTTTTAATTAATTATATAACTATTCAAATAATTATTTAATTATTAATTATTTATTATTTCTTTATTTACTATTTTATTTATTTATTTTTAATTTTTTTTTTATTTTTTATTTTATTTTATTTTTTAATGTTTAAAATAAAAGTTTTCTTATTATTTTTATTTTATTTTTTAATGTTAAAAAAAAAAGTTTTCTTATTTTTATTTTATTTTTTAATGTTTAAAAAAAAAGTTTTCTTATTATTTTTATTTTATTTTTTAATGTTTAAAAAAAAAGTTTTCTTATTTCTTATTTTTTTTTTTTTTTATTTCTTAAGCATTAAAAAATAAAATGCTTATTTATTTTTATTTTATTTTTCAATGTTTAAAAAAAAAGTTTTTTTATTTCTTATTTTTATTTTATTTTTTAATGTTAAATAGAAATATCTAACCTAATTATTATTTATTGAAGTGTTGTATTTCGCCAAAAGTTAAATTTTGTCCAATTGAATTTCGCCAAATTCTTAGTGGCTTATAAATTTATGTCATAAAATATCACCACAATTATTATTCACGCCATATTGTGAATATATGGCTTTTAAAAAATTATAGAAAAAAGCCACAAATTTATGATACAATTAGATATACGCCCCACGTAAGATTACATGTTTGGAAATTTTTGAGAATTGTAATTTTATTTATTTAATTAATTAATTATTATTCATTGAAATTTTAATAAAATTAAGTGGCTTAAAACTCAAAATATTTAAGCCATACAACAAAATACAAATTTATGTAATAAAAATTTTCGAAATGCACACTCCCCGTAATAATTTTTATAAAATTTAATTCTGAGAAAATTATTGTTGTAAAATAATTTAAATGAATTAATTAAAGTTTAAAACAAAATAAATTAATAATTTATTTTGTGAAAATTAAGTTTCAAAATTTAATCATGACTCCTTTAACATTGTTTTTAAATCGAAAATAAATAAAGGCTTTACTTATAATATTAAAATAATAAATAGATAATAAATGTACTTAATTTTAATTATTTAGTATTTAGTTTAATTAATAATTATATTTTTCTAAATTTAGTTATAGTTTATAAATTTATTATTTAATAAAATTCATTAGGATAGTTTTATATTAAAATATATGTAATTTAAATAAAATAATATATTATCAATGTATTTAGGAAAAGTACAAATAGAAGATACCTTTCACATTTTTTCTCGATGTAATTGTTATTGAATAAATAACTATTAATAAATATTAAATATTAATAAAATATATTTTTAATAAAAATTTTTTAATAAAATAAAATTTATTGTATCTTGTTATTGTAATCTATTTTAGTATTTTCTTTTACAGCTACACAACGTCCCATTTGAACATCTTTTTTTTTAAAGTGTATATAATTATTTAACCAAGTGAAATTGTTATGTTTTCCAGCACCTGTATCATATAACCATTCACTAGTCTTATCATCTTTGTCATAATATTTGATATTGTTTATATAATTCCTCTTTTTTTCTTTAATAATTATTATTTTTTCTGGAATAATGAATCTATCATTCACATATTCAATACAGAAAATTTAGTTCTGTCATTAATGTTCATTTCTTCTTGTTTTTCTGTCAAAGCCCTTCCGTTTACAAAATTAAAATTATAGTCATAATTGCTGATACTGCCTGGATCAGAAATTTTACTTACTAAAAGTATAAACTTCTAAAAACTTCTTTGGATAATCTTTTAACATTGTCTTGAAGTTTTTTTTGCCTCCCTTTAGGATTCATTTTTTTCTTCATATTATAGCTGCAATCTTTGGTAGTGTATTCTCTGACTTCACAAATGTGAAAATATTGTTTATTATTCTTGCCTTTATTATTATTATATTGACTACCATTTAGCTTTTCTCTGTTCATAAAGTTAGAACTATTGTTAATATGGCTTTTGTATTGATTTTTTCTGGAGTTAAATATATCTCAACGTGATATTTCCATTATTTGTCGAGTTATCATTATTTTTCTTAAAGTATTTTTGTCAATTTCTTAAGGGTTAAATTAAATTAAAATAAATTATCTTAAATAAATTAGTCCAAACCCTTTTGTTTCTAATTATTTAATAACCAAATTAAATTTCAACTGATCTATTAGTGAATTTCAATTATAAACCCACTAATATTTGTGACAATCATTGAAACATTTTTCATAAGTTCTAGCTTTCCTGTAACGAATCTTACAACTTGTGTGCCAAAAATCCATAGTACTTTTACTCTGGTTAAATTAATCCCATAATGGATTAATTAAAATTATAAAATTTAATAAAAAAATATTAATAATTAATACTCAGAATAAAATTAAATTAGTGAATAAATAATAATTACATAAATAAATTATAAAATTAGTGAATAGTTTAATAAATTAATTTAAAAATTATTTAGCAGAATTAAAATATTAATTTAACCAATGTAATGGGCTTTAAATTAATTAATCCCTGCATTGGCATGCTTAATTTTAATGTTAATTTTACTAATTTCTATTTTTAGTTAAATAATTATAAATAGTTGGATGTTTAAAAAGAATTCATATACCTAGAAAATGACATCCCAGGTTCTTCACAGAAATAACAAGCTTTAATTGTCAAGTTTCTCATTTTCCTGGTTAATTCCTTCATGTCATTATTTTCCTTATGTTTATTCATTTTTTATTCTATATTACTTTTTATAGGACGATGAAAATTATTAAGAAGTATTTTCAAGAAGACAAAGGGGTAGATGAATGTCTTCTTTGAATACTACCCTTATAATTTAACCTATCTGCTTTCTCAGCAATTTTAAAAGTTTTCAACAGAGGAATGTCATCAAATAAAGCTAATCGTTTCTTGGTTTCAACATTATTTTCAATGGAATCTGTATAGTTTAAAACACTTTTTTGATTTCCTTTTATTTAATTTTAAATAAGGTTATATATCTAATTAAAATCTTTTATTATTTCGTTCTTCTTAATTCTAAGACCATGTAGCTATTAACCCTTTTCATTTATCGTTACTTAAATAAAAAAAATTTAATATATTATAAAAAAAATTAATATAGCAATTAAAATACTAAAAACACTTTAAAGAAAAAAAAATTTTTTTTTGTTACACTTTACAATTATTAAGTTTATATACTTACAACTATAAAAGAACAAAAACTTAATACAAGGAAAATTAACAAAACCCAATACAATATTAAAACCACTATATATTACAACTGTCAACCACGCAAAGGTACCATAGTATTTCGGTATACTAAGTGCATTTTCCTGAATCAAGTAACTTCCAAGTAGATTCTAAGTCAATAAATCCCCGATATCTCCACCAATTATTGTAGTTCGGATTTAATAAACACTTTAAATTAAAATATTTTATTTTTATTTATTATCTTTTTTAATTTTTTTTTTTTTTTTTAATTACACATTTTATATTAAGATTTTTATAATATTTATTTTTTGTTAAATTTTAACTATAATTAATTGTTTAAAATTAAATGATATAGAATTATTAAATTTGAATTATTAAATTAATTTTATATCAACAATTCATTTTTGTTTTAATTTTTATAAATATAATAATATAATATTTAAATATAATTTAATTAGAATTAATTATAAAATAAAAATATAGAAAATAAAGGTTATTCATTCTTTATCATACCAAAAAAAAGATCCTTCGATAGTCCAGTTGGTAAAACGGCTGACTGTAGAATTATATAATAATCAACATATCAATGGTTCGACTCTGGTTTGAAAGATTTAATATTTAGTCGAACCAGGTTTTCTTTTACAAGATGTTTATACGGAATATGTTGGTTAGGATTACTGGTAAGTATGTTATATATATAATTTTAATAATATAGATACTCGACTAATTGAGAGGATCGCGCTAGTACTGTATATTTAAGAGGGAATTACTTGAAATAAGGTACATGATTTCATATACCCATGTAGCTATATTCTAATAAATTGCAATCTTTCTGACATTTATGCAATTTTCTAGGGAGCTGGTACGAATATTTATGGGTTAAGTTATACTGGTCTCACTTTATAAGGAAATTACGAACTGGAGTAGCACTTGGAGAAGTAGTACTAGAAAAATATTCACCAATAATATGCATGTAAGAACGCCAATGCTGAAACACTCTGTAAGGTCGTTTAGTAGGGACAATTCTGCCCTTGTAAAAAGGAAGTGTGTAGCTACTTCAATATTCCCACAGCTCCTGTCTGAAACCAAAGCAATATACACCGGAAATAAAAAAAAAAAAAAAAAAAAAAAAAAAAAAAAAAAAAAGATAATGAAAATAATTATATCAATAATTCTTCTAAAAATGAACTTGTTCTTATTAATAACTGTAATGAATCCGTCAATAAAAAAAACAGATTATAACAATAAAAAAAAACACTACAATTTAAACAAATAAAATTAAAGTAATTTCTTTTATTAATAAATTCTTTTATTAATTATAAACTTCTTTTATGTTATTAACTGTAAAATAGTTAATAACTAATACATCGATTAAATTAAGAAAAATTACATGTATTTATATTTTTTCTTAATACAATATTAATATATGATGTTATTTAATAATATATATAAAACTATTTATTTATAAACAAAAGATTTTTTAATTAATAATTTTTTATTATTTATTAATTTACTAAAACTAAAATTAATTTTTTAAACTCTTTATTTTATTTATTATTTTAATACTTATAATAATTTTAATTATATATTTAATATTGAAAAACTATTTTTATAAATATTAACTATTTAAGATTATTCCTAAATTAATATTTAACTATTTAAAACTAAACTAAATTAACTAAACTAATTAAAAAATATTTTCAATTAAAAAAATAATTAAATTTTATTTCAATAAATTTTATATTAAAAAAATAATTCATATACATTAAATAAATTAATTGTACGAAAAATTAAGCTATTTAATGTATTAAAGATTTATTAAATCTTTACAATAACAATGATAATCATTCTGATCTTAATATTAATACTTCTACTATTAATAGTTCTCATTGTAATCATAATGTAAATAAAAAATATATTAATGGAAGTTCCAGTTTGGAGGAGATTAAATCTTTTGAAAATATTACAGAAAATTTTAATAATTTTTCTCATAATTCTAACAATACTTCGTCTCCTAACCACATATCTTTCCTGGAATATTTTTCTACTTCACATGAAAACAACCACAAAATTATTAATCCAGCAATTAATGATGAAAACTCTGATATGTCTGATTCTAATAATAATAATTATAATTTTCATTAATAATAAAAATAATTAATATTACTACTAACTCATTAAGAAAAAGACCGGGTAGTTTTTCGATTCCTAATTTTTCTTACACTTACATAATTCTCAATTTTAAAATAATCATTATTGTACTAATAAAATGATTGCTTCTGTTTTTATAGATACTTCAAACAACTACCCCGAAGATATTAATTGTCCTAACAAATCTAATTGGATTAATGCTATTAACGAAGAACTTAATAACTGTAAAGATTTAATAAAATCTTTAATAATTAATTATATAATAATTAATTAATGTAATAAAATTACATAAATTTATGGTTCACTTATATGAAAATTTATTATGAATTTATGTAAACTTTTCAAAATGAAAAATTATAATTTAAATGATTTTGGACATTAAATTTAGTTTAAATAATTTATTTAAGTAAGTTTATTTAATTTAGTTACTTTATTTAATCTAGTTAATTTAGTTTAGTTAGTTTAAAATACTTTAAAATTAATTTCGGAGTAGTTTTAAATGGTTAAAATTAGTTTAAATAGTTTATAAAAATAGTTTTGAATTGTAAATATATAAATATTAGTATTGATAATATTTATATAATAAATAGATAATAAATGAGTCCTTATTGAATCTAATTATTATTGTAAATAAGTTGAAAGTTTATTAAATTGATTATTGTTTAGTTGTAGTTAATTATTATTTAATAAAATTATTAATAAATATTTTGTTTATAAATAAATAGTAATATATGTAAATTAGATAGGAATAATATATTTGTAACGAATCCTAAAGTGATTTATACCTAATATTCTTAATCTACAACAATTAAATTTTGTAGAAGTGAATAAAAGGATAAATACTGAATAAAATTGATTTAAGAAATTTAAAAAAATAAATATGTTTTATTATTAAACACAAAAATGTTTTATTAAAAAAAATTTATTTTTATTTTAATATTAATCTTTATTTATTTAATAATTAATTTTGTTTAAATTAATAAAATAATTGTTAAAAACTAATAAAATAATAAAATGAAAATTTTATTATTTATACTAATTTATTTTAAATTTTAATAATAAAATTGATTATTAATAACTAATAAAATATATAATAATTTATCAAAATAATTAATAATCATAAAAAATTGATTATTAAAAACTAATAAAATATCTATAATAATTTATTAAATAATTAATAATCATACTTTTTGATTATTAAAACTAATAAAATATTTATAATAATTTATTAACTAATTAATAATCATAAAAAAATTGATTATTAAAACTAATAAAATATTTATAATAATTTATTAACTAATTAATAATAAAGAATAATTTATAAGAAATATTTACATGTTTTTATATTTTTCTTTGATTTTAAACTATTTACATTAAAAATAATAAAATTAATAAAAGAGAAATAAAGAATAATTTATTATTAAATTAAACAATATTTACAATTAAAATGTTGATAAAGATGAGTTTTAAAATGTTATTTTAATTACAATTTATTTATAAAAGTTGAGTTATAAAATAAATAAAATAATCATTATTTTAAATAAAAGTAACTTAAAAAATTATTTAACTATCTAATTTTAATTTTGCGATGTTTATAAGTTTGTTTATTTGTTATTTATAATTTATTAAATTTGTTTATTATTTTGTTTATTTGTAGTCTTAGAAAAATATTATTTATTAATTTATTTTAGTTTTTAATTAAAATTATTAATGATTAATTAAATTATTATTATTTTATTTTAATTATTTTTATTTAATTAATTTTTCTTAAATATGGATTTAATTTTTTGTTTAGAATGGATTAATTTTTGGGTTAAGTTAGACAGAATTTGTTTTTTTATTATTTATTTTAATTTAATAATTTTGTTATTTATCAAAAGTGTAAGAAATCATAATTATTCAATAATGAATAATTAATATTTCTTATAATTAATGAAAAATCATTAATAATTTATAATTATTTATAAAATAATAATTATTTTTAAATAATTATTTATTTAAATAATAATTAATATATTCATTGATTTTAACTTATAAATTTATTTAATAGTTATATTTTCATATATTGATTTAAATTTATTTATATATTATAATTTTATACATTTATATAAATAATATAAAATTTATTTACTTATTATTATTATTCATTTAAATAGAATTTTTACAAAAAATTATGTAAATTTGTATTTAATATTTTACCATAAAAATATTAGTTATTTTAATTAAAATGAATTATGTATTTTATAATGTATTATAAACTATAAATGTATCTAATCTATCATATTATTTAATCTTTATTTTTAAATGAAAAAAAAAAAAAAAAAAAAAAAAAAAAATCTTTTTTTTTCATTAATTCCTATCCTATCAATATTTAATATTTTATAATTAATTAGAAAATCGGTAATTAATGTTTTTCCTAACAAATAGGTTTTCTTTAATTATACGATGATCAATATGATTAGAATATTGATCGAAAAACTATTTAGGTTTTTCTTCTAATCTTTTCCTAAATAGATTTTTTGTTAAGATTAGAAAATAAATTTATTTAACCGATTAATTTTTTAAAAAATATAAATAGGACTCTTGAATTCTCTTTGAGAAATCAAGAGTTATTATTTTAAGAAAATATAATAAATAATAACAAATAAAATAAATTTTTTATTTATATATCAAAAAAACTGTTATTAATCATAAAAGGTTTTTTTTAAAAAGAATATTTTCAACTACTATTCTGCCGTTGCTTGGTTATTGTTTGTTATATTTACTTATAATAAACTCTGTATAATTAAGTATAATTTTTATTTTTTAATTTTATTTTCTCAATTTTAATATTATGTAAAAATAATATTAAAATTGTAGATAATAGTTATATTAATTAATTTTAGTTTTAGTATAGCTATTACAAAAAGTTGATACGATATTTTTATTAAACATCAATATCAATATTTATTTTATTTTATTTGGACGATAACAGTAGGGAATAATTGACAAAATAATATATTTTAATATTATATAGAATAATACACACAATAATAATATTCACACTTTAATATTTAGTTTATTTATTTTATTTATTTATTATCATTCATCAATAAAAATACATTATTTATTATTCATCAATATAAAATAATTATTAACTAGTTAAAATATAATTAAATCATTCAATAAAATATAATTAATTACTAAAATCTCTCATATTATTAATGTAAACTAAATATAAAACTACACTAAACTATACTAATAAACATGTTTTTAGGTTAAATTATTAATAAACTAAATTAATATTAATAAAAGAACCATTCCTTAAACTATTATTATTTACTAACTATATATATTATTACTAAATTATTATTAACCAATAAGATTTCATCAAATAATTTCTAACCTAAATTTCACTAAATTATGGTATTTATGGTGGTACCGTATCAAAGTTTGATAAATAACAAAATTATTAAATTA